TGTGCCTGTGTGCCTGTGTGCCTGTGTGCCTGTGTGCCTGTGTGCCTGTGTGCCTGTCTGTTTCGTTTGTTGATTGGTTGTACATGTATCCCTATCTTCTACAAATACAATCGATAAAAAATTGTAAAAATTTAAAGAATATATTATTAAAAATATTTTGTCCTTACCCTTACTGCCAGTAACCGTTTTAAGTCCTGCATCAATAACAAGAGAAGAAGGAGAAGATGCGGTGTTCATGTTTAATACCAATACCAGCATACTAGAAGCGGCATGGGGTATACGTGATGGTGACACTAATAACCATAAGTTAGTGTTGATGACAGTTGACAAACGATTTGGTGCACACACAACTTCTAATGCTGATTACGCAGGAAGAGTCTATTTTGTTGGTGATCTGTCAAAGGGTCAGGCTTGGTTCAAGATCACAAACCTGAACATCAATGATACCAATAATTACATGGCAAAGATCAGGGTTCATGGTACATCGTTCTACAAATACATACCTGCACAATTAACAGTCATTAAACCACCAGGTAAGTAAAAATTCATATTGATTAAGGCTCATTCGACATTTATAGCTTCAAGATTATTTCCCTTCCTTCCTTCTTTTCAACATTCCTTGTTTTCTTCCTTCCTTCATTCCTTCTTTCCTTCCTTCCTTCCTTCTCAAGATTATTTCCCTTCCTTCCTTCTTTTCAACATTCCTTGTTTTCTTCCTTCCTTCATTCCTTCTTTCCTTCCTTCCTTCCTTCCTTCCTTCCTTCCTTCCTTCCTTCCTTCCTTCATTTTTCCTTTTTTCATTCTTTTTTTACCTCATTTTCTTTTATATATGTTTTATCCAATCCACGGTTCTTTGTGATTTTCTCTCTAGTAACTACAGAGCCTCTACAGACATCAACCAAAGAACTCACCACCGGATTTTCAAGTTCACAAACCTCTCCTCGGCCGACAGCATCACAAGTGCCTCGTGAGTAGCCCGCTTTTTTCTTTCGTTGTTCAGTAAACTAGGCAGAAGTGAGGACCTTGATTTGCTGCAGCAGTATGCGAACTTTTTAGTACTATTTGTTTTTATTTTTATAGAACTTTCAAACCTTAGCATGTCAATCAATGTGGTTAAAGAAGTTGATGGAGATTTTAGTGATTCCAGCTCTGAATTCAGCGAAAACTTTGTTTCTGAGGTGAGTCGTGTTAAAAGACGAACTCCTATCTGAACTAAAAGAGGTATTTTGCATGTTACTGATCACAAAAATATATGATGTTTTTAACGTAATAACTGTATATAGCAACAAAGTCAAACAAAAGAAAAGAGAATGAATGAGAGATGAGCAGTTACATACATTGTCGTATTTCGCGAATTTTGAAACCAATGCTTAGTTAACTTAGTTAATAAAACCCGGCTAACATTAAAGGGAAATCTATGCTTTTAAACCTCATGTGATATATCCACTTTCTTTTATTAAGATCAACTCTGTCTATAGAAATATTGATATGTTTGAGAAAGCCAAGATCACTAGTCTAAGGTAATACACATACGGTATGTACAACAAAAGGTGGGAGAAAACGAGAGGGGTTTTGAGAGACCATCTAATCCTTGCTTTATGCTTTGTATTTCGTCAATTGGTACGTTCATTGCTAACCTTTATTTTTGGTTCAATTCAATAAAAAGTGAGAACATCATTTCTGTGAAGTTTGTCGTTTATTTCAAGAGCATGATAAAACCAGATGAAATATGTGCTCCACTTGAAGATGCAGTAAAAGACAATAGACTTGGAAGTCTCAAGATAGTACCTGGTTCATTAGGCTGCTCTAATGGTAGGTTTGACAGAAAGCAGGACAAAATGATGGACTAGCGAAAAAAAACCACAAACTTGCTGACTGATTGCTGACTGATCACTTGGATTGACTGGTTTACAATTTATTCTTAAGTATGGTGCTCCGCTATGATGCTGAATAAGCATAATATTTCGTTATAGATACCAACACAAGTTTTCCCAAGAAGCAATCAAATTCTGCTAGCACTTGTAAGTATCTGTTAGCATATGTAACATATCTACCCAAAGCATTGCAAATACAGCCAATCAGAATGCATGAAGGCAGTCGTACATATTCCAGTGTGCCAATACCATGAAATAAAAATACATGCTTTTGCAATATTCTATTGCCAAAAAAGAACATGATACATACTATTCCAATGCAGTTAACTTCCATCAATATTTTTTTATATATTTATCTTTCATAGGCACGTCAATCATCGTGGCATGTGTTACTGTCAACATATTCCTGATTCTGGTTGTAGTGTTTCTGCTTATCTATATTTGGAGGTTACGATTAAATACTGGTTAGTCAGCCAATTTTGGGTCTTGCTTGATGTGGCAGGATGTATTGTATTCTGGGTTAGGGTTTACAGGGTATTATTGTTGTCGTCTATTGTTTTATTGTCTTCATGGCTCAGGTGCCCTGCAACACCAAGAAAGAGCCCAAATTTTCAAACATTAAACTAATTTCGTTTCTTTTTTTATATTTGTGATGTAAGCTTTTTTTTTTTCTTTTCTTGTATTGTAGAAAAAAGAGCAGGAATGAGGTATTTGTTTGTTTATTTATTTGCTAAATTTGCTTGTTTCTTATATTATTTTTCGTTCTTGCGCATCAATTGTTTCCATTGTTTGTTTTTATGTTGTTACTTTAGAAACTCATCAACCATACAAGTTAAGAACCCTGAAGCTTATGAGGTACGTGTGTCCTTTGTTATGTTTGAAACGCTGCGATCAAAGCTATGGCTACGGAACTTTGCCAGCCATAGACATAGACTTTGCCATCTATCGTGGATACGAAGATAAAGTCGGATACAGCATCAAAATATTGTATCAACTGATTTGCTGTGTATTATTTTTAACATTTCTAGTGTATAATAACGAATGTTTGCAATACAGATCGCAAAACAACATATATCTGCTTGTGTTTGTAAAATAACAAATGCATCGTATTGTTTAGAATATCCATCCAATGGAAACACGTCACAAGACATGGCAACAAAAACAGCTCAAACACTAAATACTGGAAAGGAGCTTTATGAAATGAAAAATGAAAACAGAGACAAAAACAATGTTGCAATAACAACAACTGTGAAACAAACGAGTGGGTCTTCTGTCGCAATCCAAGGTGACGCACCTTCATTGCCGCAACACTATCAAGAGCTTCAAAGAAAGGCACCTAATCCGACCTCTCTGTATGAGCCTCTCAAGCAGCAAGGCTTTCGTAACAAAGAAGAGCTGGCCTCAGAAGACCCAAAAACATATGAACAGCTACAGCAGAGTGCATCAGGAAGAGAATACCAGTCATTGAAGTGTTATAAGGATACCGAGAGTAAAGTGTGACGCAATATCTCTACAGTTTAAATAATTCTGCAAAAGCTACCAAATAAATAAATCTCTCCGGGTTTTGATATTAAAATTGCTGCAGCGCTACCTCGTGTCAACTTCAATTTCTAGCTGGCTTTATTTACTAATCATTCAAAGGTAAAAATGCTGCAACTGAATTGGAATACATATTCTTGATACATATTCTTAATTGTTAATGATTTACGCCACTGAACACCTTCTTATTCATACTCATGTGGAAAACAAAAATAAATAAATAATGTTTCAGTTCATTGTGGTTGTATTTACGTTTAAAACTTTTACCGCTTATATAAGTTACAGCGAACAAAATAAACCACCGCCATAATAAATGCACAATGTGTCACTTACGACCCAAGAACTCCGTCATTCATCCTTTTGACAAAGCAACGATGCAGCTCAATCCTAATGCGCATGGTCAATAACATGTCACAGATTCAACAAAAAAAAAAAAAAAATCAACAATAAATAATCAATTCGAATTGTTTAAACTCAATTTCAACGCTAAATTTTTAGGTCTTTGTAGAACATTCACCACTTTTGTTTTTAGTGTCAGCAGTAAGAACGAGCAGAGCAGATCACTAGTTTTAATGCTATAAGTAGTCACGCAGCCGCAGCTAACACTTTGTTGACATTGATTTGAAATATAGAGGTACGCGAAAGAAATAGCATCAGCTGGTATATCAAAAGTACTCCTGATCTTGATTTATGTCCATATAACAAGATCTATTCAGATTACTTCGTCACTAATACCCCTTATATTTGTATTTCCTGATGTTTTGTGGGTTCTTCTTGTGTTTGCTGGGCATTACTGGAATACTTCCACTTATTGGTAAGTAACATCCACTTCCTCTGCTTACCATATATCGAAAGTGCAATACGTGTATTAACAACCATATGAGTAATTTGATGATAAACCTAATCAATGCGGAACTTAAGAAAAGATTTGACTGTTTTGGTAGGTATTAGGACAATAACAAAACAGTGAATTAACCGTGTATTAAACTGAAATAAAAGTGAATTTTGATGTCATAAGGGATGAATACCTTTCGCTATAATTAAAGACCCCTCTTCCTGATGGAATATAAGTATCTTATAAGGCAAATAGACTGTATTTCGTATCGTTATATTTTAGTATTTATTTTGAATCTCTATATCTACCATTATAATCCTAAACCTCGATTGTTTATGAATCACTCAACTTCCGCCATCGGTAATACGTGACATGACCTTGGACTCCTGGAGTCACGTGATGCTTCTTGGGGATTTGAAAAGTAAAGTAACATTAAATTATTTTAGGTGCCATTAGTACAAAATGTTCTAGTTCGTATTTGCTTTATACTGTTTTCAAGACTACTATACAAGTGTTTAAAAAGAAAAGAAACAATCAATTTTGAAAGAAAAACTTTGTCGGGTTAAATATGTTCAAAAAAGGTTAACCCATTGAAGCTAATACCGATGGATAGTTTGGGCTACAAATTAATGTGAAGTTAATTCGCTCTCGAACTTTTTTTGCCATACATTTTAGTCACCGAACAGTCCATTTATTATGCACGTGTGTATCTGTATGAAACACTCTTCGAATGCCCCTCCAAATGTCTCTTGACCACCCTGAATACCTCTTGGTGGTAGATTTGATTGTTTGACCCGTTTCAAATAGAGGTTTTTGTTTTTGTATTTGTTGTTGTTGTCTGTTATTGTTGTTGTTATTATTGTCGTTGTTGTTGTCGTATCCAGATTAAACTAGTTCGTTGCAAACTATAGTTTTCTTGTGCGCGCTAGCTGAATAATAAATAAAATACAAATGTTTTGAAATGCATTAATTTATACTTTAGATGGAGCTGTTAGATTTACTCAAGTTCCACCATCTATCTTGTATGTGCCTAGTGGCGGAACTGCAAAGTTTGTCTGGGATTACCATGTCGATAACCGAGACAGTGAGCTTTTTACAACGTCACCAGAATGGATTTACACTAATGGTATTAACCAGACTCGTATTGCTTCTGAAGCCTGGAGTTATGTACATGCAACTGGGAAAATGGAATGGATATGGACAGTAACACCATCATGTCCAGCACGACTGAGATATCGACTCAGCAAGGAATCTGTTGCTACTCTGGTCATCTCAAATGTGAACACGGTTGATAATGGGAACTATAATTGCTCGCTGATTTTAAGTGGAGGTCAGGCTCAAATAAAGAGCACAACACAGCTGATAGTAACAGGTATTCTAAATACGTTTTAAATTTGGTGTGGAATTGGGACATGAATAAGGAAAGGTTTTTTATAAATAAGAAAATAAATGTTTTTTTCCCTTAAAATTCGATTCAATGTTCATGAAAGTCTATCCAGAGGTAAACGGCGCGCGCAAAGCAAGAGTGGACAAAATGACCGGCCCTAAAGCATTTTTGGATTTTGAAAGAACGAATCAATAACCTGACGGTCAAGGGAATTTTTTATTTTTTTTTTATTTTCGTTTTTCCTTATATTTTTTAAAATTTCCCCGTTTTGTAGCCACGTAGCCTGGGAATGATTGCTGGTGGCAAAACAGCTAAACGCGCTGTGATTCGCTAAAATAAATTTCAACGCGCAGCTTGATATTACGAATGGTACAGACCCTTTAGTTTGAAAGTCTTGACAATGAAGAGTTTAAAAAGCAAATGTATATGTTTGACCTATAAGCATTATACCACAAGCATTTATGCATCAGAATGGCCCGCATTTGGTTATATTAATTCATTAAACTTTTAATGCTGATGCAAAAAATGAAAATAGGTAAAACGCGCACGCACGTGTACTAAATAGGTCAGTAAAGCTGTAAACCTAGGCTTACTATAGTAGTAGTTTGTCTTATGAGCCGATATATTTATAATATCATATATATTATGATTATTTTTTTTCCCTTCCAGTGCGCCCACAATTTATCATTAATCCACCATCTGCTGTAGTTATATCCGAATCATCGAATCTCGGTGTATCTTGTGCAGCAAGAGGACAACCAACACCTAACATAACTTGGACAAGATTACGGGATAGGGCAATCATAAGCCGAGGAGTAGGAAGTGTCACATTGAGCATACCGACAATTAGAAGGGATCAGAATGGAACTTATGTATGTCAAGCTACCAACAACCCAAATGAGAGTCCACTTTCTGCGCGGACTAATGTTGATGTTCAGTGTAAGTATAGCGCTTGATATTGTTAAGCCGCATATAAAGGCTTCCTTACCGACTTTCATTATTCATTATTACATGTCTTTATTTCTTACAAAGAAACTTCATATAATTTTGAAAACCGGTGTTAAGTGCACACAACAAAACCATAGAACGTACAAGTACTGCTTATTGCAAAGACTGGGTAGTTTGGTATAGTACATAACCTATTTAGGTTAAATATTTTGTAAGAAATAGCACAAATTTTACACTTATTAGTAAGTTCAGTAGACCTACAAAGCTTCGCACTATTTTGTAAAATTTTGTTGGTTTTAACTCAATTAAGGATATGATATGTACTCTTACAGTAGACAAGGAAGGATTCGGCACTTCTTTTGATTAATTTAGTAAAAATGTTTTGATTATGCCATTTTTTTTTTTTTGTCTACATTGAAGTCATCAAATTTAACTTTTTTTAAAATGTCCTCTGAGAGACACATTTAGTTATTTTACGTAGTCTGGTTTTACATTTTAATTTCGTCTTTTTGTCTTCTGTTAATTTTCAATTGTTTTAGATTCCCCATCCATCACTACCAATCCAAAGGACATTGTTGTTACTAAAGGTGATCAAATCGTTCTGACCTGTCGTGCAAGCGGGAACCCTTCTCCTTCCATTTCCTGGTCAAAAGAGAGCGGAGCCATAAGACCAGGACATACAGCTTCTGGTAATACTCTAGTAATCCCTTATTCTGTCAAGACTGATGCCGGCAAGTACATCTGCAAGGCCAGCAATCTCTACGAAATGGTAACTCACACTGCAGTGGCTTCGGGAAATGTTACTGTAAAATGTAAGCCAAAAATGTAAATTATCATATGATAAATATCATAGCTTTTACTTTTTAATTGTGTGTGGCGTGCTATATTAGATTATTTAGTTTGCGCGCTTGCCGCGTGTATATTTTATTGATTCGTCATTCGAATCGAACTCTGCAGGTTAGAATTTATAAATAATAACAGTTTTGTTTGCAATTCTATGCGAAGCTATATTTAAAAAAGCAAACATTCAGGGAAAAGGGAAGAAATGTATAGACAATTACAAAGAGAGCAGTCCCCGTAATCTTATTTGTTTGCATCCAAGCTGCATAACTGTTTAATTTGACAGTTGTAGAAAACAGTTAACTTTTTGATTATTTTACATTGAAAAACTAGATCAACCGACGATTTTGTCCAAGTCCCAAAACCAAATCATCAACGAGACAGACCTTCTTCGTCTGACATGTATAGCAGATGGTTATCCAGTACCAAATATCACGTGGAGCAATTCCTCAGGATCCATTACATCCTCCGTCAGTCTTATAGGCAACGAGTACCATATTCAGTCTGCAAAGAGATCAGACACAGGGACATACACGTGTACAGTTAGTAATGGGATAGGAAGAGAATCAATGGCCAGTATACAAGTCACTGTGCAATGTGAGTAATTGGATGGCTTGTTGGCTTGTTGGCTTGTTGGCTTGTTGGCTTGTTGGCTTGTTGCCTTG